GGAATCTGACAGCCAGACAGACAGAGGGACGATTGGCTGATTGGCTGCACAGAGAAGCGCTGTGTGGGGCGGTGTTTGGGCTGCCGTCTGTCTTCAGAAAAGCTCGGGTGACGTCTGTTCGCGAGAGTGTGTCGATCTCTCGTCGTTGCATCCGTCACTCACGGGCGGCTCACAGACAGACAGGCAGGCACGCCGACACACACAAGGTTCGACCAACACCACGCTGACTGTCTGTCAATGTGTGTGAGACCAGAGAGAGTTTTCTGTCATGCCTCTCATGTGTGTGGCAGACCTCTCTATCCCTTTGTGGGCATCTTTGGAGGCGCCGGGCAATGGTAGAGGGGCAGCATGTGACTGTGTCTGTCGCTCTTCAATTGCCGGGCGGCTGCCGAGATGCACACCACAAGAGAGAGGGGGGGGGGGGGGATGGACACACAGAAACTGACACATCAATGAGCTCCATCCTGTCTGTCGTATGCTCTCACTTCCCCTGTCTGTGTGTCTGTCTGTCTGTCACGCTGCTTTCTGACAGCCAGTGTGCCGCCGTCACGACTGCCCTATTGCGACTGCCTGGCTGCGTGTGTGTGGCTGTGTGAGGGTGTGTGTGTTGGTTCTCTTCCCCTCTCCCTTTGTGGGCATCTGACCCGCCATCGCAACTTCAGAGTATCAGCCCACGAAGGGTGTCGGTGCTTTCGGGTGGCCGATTGAATGAATGGACAGAGACACGACTGCCGACACACACAGACATGGGTGGGTGGGTGGATGGATGGATGTGCCCACTGCCTGGTCCTAACGGGTTCTGTGCGCCTCTCTCTCTATTGGGTGGCGGTGGGAAGAAAGAGAGTGTGTGAGAGGGAGAGAGATGTGCATCGTGTGTCGGTGTGCTGACTGTCTTGTGGTCGCTGGACACCTCACCCATGGAATAAGTGAGTCGATGGATGGATGGATGGCTTGAGGAGTGCGGGCCCCTGCCACACGATCCGCTCCCTGCTCGGCAGACGGATAAGTGGGTCACTAGGTTGGCTACTTGCTGCTTGCTGTTGCTTGGGGTGGTCTGTCTTTTGTCCAACGGCTGACTCGCTGTAGATGGTCGACAAGAACAGATGAATGAATGAATGAGTGTCTGGGTGGGTGGCAATGTAGTCGATGTAGAGACGTTGCTACCTACTCCATCTTCGGCCAGCCTGTCTGTCTGTCTGTCTGTCTGCGTGTCTGAGATCGGCGAGAGAACGATAGATACACACGGAATACTAAAAGATGGAGGTGAGTCACACCTGTAGCACATGCATTCACGGCATGAAGCAACGACCGCACATACCCACACACACCCGAGAGAGCGTTAGAGCGTTTAGACCTCAAGAAACAGCTGACTCCCGCGCCACGCCACACCCCTCCCACACATCTTGGCGTTCCCCTCATTGCGCATCTGCATCTTGGACAGCTGCAGCTTGAATGGGTCGTAGTCACTGAACAGCTCGTGACGCAGCTGCATTCGCCACCCATAGATACAGCACACATATCATGGACAGTGGATGGATGTCTCCGTGCTGGTCTCCCATGCACCTGTTCCTTCTCTTTTTTGAGCTCAAGGTAGCGCAAGTTCAGCTACCCTGAAGTTGTTGAACATTGTAGACCATCAACTTAGAGCATTATTTTTCGCCTCGGAAGGGCCAAGCTCTCAACCCCCTCACTGCACAAACCCGACAGCACACACACAGCCGACTCATCCTCCGCGTCCCCATGCAGCACCACCAGCCGCTGGTGGCCGCCCCCATCAGCCGCAAGCAGATATAATCGAGGTTATAGCCGATCGTCTTGCTGCCGTCCAGCAACACGAAGAAGGGAGGCTTGCCGGTGGCGGCCGGCACAGACACAGAGGGGGAGGTGAGGACCCTGACAGCGATCCGATGATGGGTAGGTATCGCCGTGTCGCCGGTCGCCTTTTGCTTGACCTTCATCCGCTCCACCTTGTTCGCCAGAGCCCGGTGCTTGTCGCTCACTTTCTTGGGCTGGCCGCTGCTGGCAGACGATGCCGATGCCGCTAAACCTTTTGGACCACCCTGTTTCCTCTGTGGTGCAGCACCAGTCGGCTTGACGGTGGCAGCCGGGCAGTCGTGGTCATCAGGAAACCTGTGCTTGATGCACACCACTTTGTTGCAGCTGGGGCAGGCCGTAAAGACCTTCAGAGGGGCCGAGCAGCCGCTGACCGCACACCGCTGGCGAGTCTCTCGCCCGGGCAGTCTCTTGCCTGGTGTTGCTCCAGTGCCTCTCAGGTGTCATGTTGGCCGGGACACGAATGCACCGCCGGCATCTGCGGCAGATGACGGTCTCCTCCGCGATGGCTGTCGAGGCAGCGCTGCACTCGTGGTCATCCGGCCTGCAGGCATCGACCAGACAGACATATCAATATACGGCGACGGACGACGGTTGAAAGGGGATTGTTTCGATGGGATGGTCGCGCAAGGCAGACGTTCCGTGGTGGGAGAACCAGTTCCACACCGCGAGAACCGACCTTTCCAGCCAGAACCAGTTCTCTGCTGTAAATCACCAGTTCTCTGCTGTCCAGCACCAGTTCTCTGCTGTCCATCACCAGTTCTCTCTGTTTGAGACATGTACATGAAGAGATCCGACGACTTTTGAGTCAATTCAGAGGTCATATGTACACCAGACGTCTATTCACAACACACACACGAGGCCGCGGCAGACCAGAAGGATATGCGATATCAAAATGCCCTTCGCCCGCCACTACTCTACCCAAATGCAAGCCACACACCCACATCCATCCATCCATCCCTCCACACCCACCCACCCACCCACAGACAGACAGCTCGACAGACAGACAGCTCGACAGATTGATAGATAGACAGATTGACTGACTGACAGACTGACTGACCCTTCTGGCTCATGGGCTGTTTGGGGCCGGCTGTGTGGCTGCCTGCCTGCCCTGTTTGATGAGCTGAATGGATGGGGTGGATGAAGTCATCTATCGACAAGAAAGCCACGGACACTCACACACATGCGATGGAAAGCGATCCACACTCAAACGAATTCGTCCCCATCCTCCTCGCCGCCCATGACCATTCGCGCCGCCTCTCGCTGCAGGTCCTCAAGACCGGCGATGGGCACGTCGACCTCGAACTTGAGCTTCGCTGCCACCGTACGGAATCCGAGCAGGCCGGCCCTGGTCTCGAGCGGCGACCCTCCGCCCCCGGCGGGCGGCTTGAGCCCCAGCAGCATCGGGATGCCCGCATCCATGACGCCGTCGAACACTCGAAGCTGAAGAAGTCGAACAACCTGATACAAACGACGCTCTGGATCGAGCAAAACATGACAAAGTGTCGAATGTATGCTCGTCATTGCCTCGCTGCCGTTCCTTACCCAGAAAGATAGCGTCAGCCTCGAAGGTGTCGTCATAGTGGGCGAGCACGAAGAGCACAAACAGGTGCAGAACAGCCCTGACCATACAGGGACAGCATTAATTCATGTGTGTTTATGGATGCGTGTGTGTGAGTGTCTTACTCTTTGAACGAGAGCTGGGGGCCGTGTGTAGTTCCATACACGACGACGTAGCTGTCTTCTCCTCCCTCGTTGGGCTCGAGAGCCCTGCCATCACCCTCTCCAGTCTTGCGATACCGTCCTGACGGACACCACGAGACACACAAGAGGCCAGGAAGTCATCTGCTGATGCCCAATTTTCTTCCGCCTCGCGAACCTTCAGCGATGAAGAGCCATTCGGGTCCGTCCTCCTCACCAGGGGGTGCGAACCGCATCGATTGGTACTTGGTCGTTGCGGGCGCGGCGTCGGGCACGCGCCTGAGGGGGCGGGGGAACGACTCGGGGGCGGAGAGTTCGTACTCGGAGAGTGGTGGGTACTGCTCCCGAGCGTGTTCGCTGTCAGTCTCCTCCCCGCTGGTCGCAGTCATCTTGTTGATTGTAGATATGTAATCGGCTGCTGAAGGGGATGCCGGCACCATGCCGCCGGCTTCCATCGCCTCCACCATCAACCCAAGCTCCTGCAAGTACATACACGCACGCATACACGCAATGCGATGTGCAGGCATTATCCCCCCTTCCCGTTCCAACCCCACTCCACCCACCGTTTCAATGTCGAGCTCCCTCAGCCGTTTGATCGCCGTGGCCCACTCGCGAGTGTCGTGCTCTTTCTCCAGCGCCTCGCACGCCTTCTCGAGGGCCACCGACGGACCGAGGAAACGCGGCACGCAGAGGTAATGGCGGATCAGTGGTCCTGCAGGCCATGAGAGATGTCGCACCACACATGACTGATTCATGGGTGGTCATCTTTTGGCTCGTACAAACGTACCCGTGCACTCCTGTGTGGTCCTGGCTGCGTGCCAGCGCTTGGGAAGACGGTCAGCTATCGCCCCGGGGCTCCTCTGCAACGCCTCGATCGTCCGCACTATCAAAGGAATATGACACCCAACCGGTGACCTCACCGTCTCCCGATTGTATCCACTCACCCTTGGTCGTGTCGTTTAGTGTGTTCCTGAGGTCTTGGATGGAGTTCTCGAGCCTCTCGCGAATGGCGGCGTAGTCGAATGCGGGGCGCGGGGGGCTGTCTGCTGCCGGCGCAGGTGGGTTGTGGCCGCCTGGTGCTGCAGCAGCGACACCCTGCATGGCACGGGCCACGTTCTGCTCGATCAGCAGCTTGATCTCGTCGCGTGGCATGCCCAGCGTCGACGCCATAAAGGTATTGAGTTCATCCATCTTCCTGCACCACACACACGCACACACACGCACACACCCTCACTCTCACCCTCACCCTCACCCTCGGCGTCTGCTGTGGCGGCCTGGGAGGCCGCGCCGGTTGCGGCGGGCTGTTTGCCTTGCTGTTTGCTGCCCTTGCTCTTCTTCTTCTGGTGCTCCTCGACGCGAAGTCGCGCCATCGCCGCGCTGCTCTTCTTGGCTGCCTGACGCCTCCCCTTCACCGTGCGGGCGATTGACTCAGGGGGTGCCGCGGCGCCCTCGCGCTCCTCCGTATCCATGGAGGCAGTCAGAGGTCACTCAAACGTCACAAACAACGAGCAAAATGCTGCGAAGGGTGAGTCGTTGCTTCACTGCAGAGAAAAAGTCGTTGCTTCACTTTTGAGTGAGCGATCCAAGCGCGCAGCCGAGAAGCAACCATGAATTCACATCAGCAGCAACTCAAAGGATGATCAACCAGTCGTTCACAAGCAACGGTATGAGAGAATTCAAGCACTGACACATCACATTTGTCATTCATTTGACGGTTCTCTCTCTCCATTGTTCAGGCGCGTAATGAGCCACTCGCCCTCGTTGAGTGACGAATCTACCTCTGAGGACGAAGCAGCCTTCTGGTGCAACGTGTGCAATAAGCCCTTTCGGTCGCTTTGGGACCTGGAGCGGCATCAAACCACTGCGAAGCATGTCTTCCGAGCTCAACACGGACCGGGACATGACCAGGCTAGCGACGACAGCTCATCATCCGACTCAGACTCTGAGGCGCCAGACGACCGAAACGAGCTGAGCTCTGACGCTGAGGAGGCTCCTCAGCCCTCCACTCCCTCTGCTGGCACCCACCCTGTCTTAATCGAGGGCAGTCCGGCTCAACGGCAGCTCGTCGATACAATCATCGCTCTCCGATGGCGATACTTCCTGCCCTTCACCCTCATCGCAATATTCTTCGCCATCGCCAACGCACTCTGCGTGTCCTTCCTCGGGCAGCCCCTCCTGCCTGACCGGCTGACTAAGGATGGTGCGCTGCGCCGATTCGTCGAGAGGCACTCGCCCAACAAGGTCGACAACTACATCATCAGGCCCAGGCCGGCCGAGCTGCGCAGAGGGATACGCATCTACACCGTCGATCTCGGGATGCTGCTGCGGATGCTGGTGGCCAACCGACACGTCATGGAGGCGTGGCGGTTCGCACCAGAGGGGGGCGGCCGGCCCAGCCGGCGCTTGGTGAATGTGTTCAGCGGCTCCGTGTACCGACAACACCACTTCCATCACCATGCCGCAGCCACCGACTCCTCCCTCCCTCGCCTGCCCATCTTCCTAGGCCTCACGCACGACGGATTCACTCCATCCAACCCCACCAGAGCCGGTGCCATCAAGATAGAGAATGTCTACATCGTCGTGCACAACATCCCCAGCCCCATGCGCTATGAGCTGATGATCCTCTTTGCGAGCGCCGACCTCGCCTCCCCCGGTCACGGAAAGCCTGCCGGCCTGGACGCCGTCAGCAGCCGCCTCATCGAATTCCTGCGGATGCTCTGGGCGGGCATCGAGATGGACGTGTACGACGCCGAGGAGGGACGGATGAGGACGATGCTGGTTCAGGGGGCGCTGCTCACCTACTGTGCGGACATGGTGGCCATCGCCGAGCTGCTGGGCCTCAACCACTTCGGCTCGGCCAACCACTGCTGTTATGGCTGCGACTTCCACCGCCGCGACCTGGGAGTGGTGGGCAGGCAGCACATCGTCCGACATGACGAGCTGATCGGAGGCGGTGCATTCGACAGACGAGTGGACACGCTCGTGAGCATGCCGGCCGGACAGAGGGATGAGTTCGTCAAGGAGAGGGGGGTCAAGAGGGAGACCCCATGGCGTTTCCTGCCCTACTCGGCGCCTCGATCGGACTCGCAGCAGTGTGGTGTCTGCGGAGGTGGTGTGGCCCATGGCTCATGTCCAGAGGGCAGCAAGGACATGCTGTCATGCCGCAAGTGGTGAGCAGGAGGGAGAGAAGGCAGGGAAGCGATCTTTCATACCTGTTCCTCTCTCTCTGTATGTCTGTCTGTCTGTCTGTGTGTGTGTGTGTGTGTGTGTGTTGCGTTCAGTGAACATTGGTTCCACGAGGTATGTGTGGGCATCACTCCTTCCGCAGAGGAGAATGCCCACTCCCGTCTCCGCTTCATCTGTCCCGACTGCCGGCAGCCGCCCGCTCCTTCCCCCAACAGCCCGCCGCCCGATCCCGGAGCATCAGGCATCCTCGATCTCGTCATGGGCGACCCGATGCACAACATCATGGAGGGCATGCTTCGCTACCACATGCATCGGGTCATCCGTGAGTGGCGTGAGGCGGGGTGGCTGTCCAAGCCCACCTTCATGGCGGCGGTCAAGAGTCTGTGTCACACTCACGCGTCGGGCAAGAACCGCATCTCCCAGGCTGCCTCGGCTATCTGGAGCTCTGACAACCAGGTCAAGGCCACGGCCAAGAAGCTGCAGTACCTGGCCCCCGTGGTGCGCGTCATCCTCTTCTCCACCATGCCGGAGGGAGACGGGGAGGACGTCGTGGTCGGGCGACAGCACTTGGCCTGCTACAAGCTGCATTGCGAGATCATCGGGATGGTGCTGCAGAGGGAGGTGGACATTGTCGGCGACCTTCGGCGGTTTGCCGTGAAGATCGATCAGTTCGTTGACTCATTCATCAACCTGTACAACTACGCCCCACCGAAACTGCATGCCTACACGCACATGCCCCTCGACATGTATAGGTTCGGTCCACTGCGTGAGCAATGGTGCTTTCCAAGTGAGATGATGCATCAGACAGTCAAGGGATGGGTGAAGACAGGCAACTGGAAAGAGCTGGGGGCCAACACGCTGCGTTCATTTCTGCACAGCTTCTCCTACTCCCTGTCTTCCTGCAGCGAGGATTTCCAGGGCTTGCCGGCCTCTGTGGTGTGCCCCCCACTTCTGCGTGAGAGAGAGTGTGTGGGTGTGGATGTGGTGGCAGGAAGGATGCTGCGTTTGCGTGAGGACGAGGGGCACGTGCTGCTGATCGATAAGGTGCACTGGCATGAGGGCAGGAAGGTGGGGGTGACTGCGAGGAAGATCCCTCTCTGCTGGCATGTCGGGTGTGGTGGATATGCAGGGGTCCTGTCGTGTTGTCGCGCGAGTGGCTTTCTGTCGTTTGAGTCGGTGGTGATGCTGTCTGCCGTGCCCTACATGTTCGTCCCCCTCGACCAGAGAGACACATTCTTTCTTGTCGATAGATGAGTTCATCCACCCCCTCCATTAAGCTCATCAGACAGGGCAGGCAGGCAGCCACACAGCCGGCCCCAAACAGCCCATAAGCCAGAAGGGTCAGTCAGTCTGTCAGTCAGTCAATCTGTCTATCTATCAATCTGTCGAGCTGTCTGTCTGTCGAGCTGTCTGTCTGTGGGTGGGTGGGTGG